TATTGAACGGGACAAAAAAGGGTGCTATGCCTACATTATGGTGAATATTTAGTCCTATTGGTCTTGCTGTATTCAATGTCTCATTCCAATGGGCTTCCCTAGATTGACGGAATTTGGTAGTTTCATCTTCGGGCAAGTCAATTTCTATGCGCTCAATTGGGATTAGGGTGAGAACGTCTATTAAATGGTCGTCGAGATTGAAATGATTAGAAACAGGCTTTTATTTCTTCAATTTGATATCCGACCTATGAGCATTAAAACGAGTTCGTAAATTATTCTTAGTTTCTCCTACATATTGTTTGGGACATTTCATGAAATTAAATATATTACATTCGAATGTTCACATGTTAGATGTTCCTGGATCGGGTACCTTTTAGTCGTAGACTTGCTTACAAAATAATGAGTTTCTTATATAAAGGGACATGTTTTGCATCTACTGGGTAAACATGGAGCACTCCTTAAACCTGCAGGTACTTTGGCATAAAGCCAGTTTTCAGCTGCTATCTGTGCTAACGTGGAATTTTTTGTTTCGTAAAAATCGTTTGGAGTACCCACGCTCTTTCAGTTTTGAGAAAACAGTCGTACAGGCTTGGTTGAAATCAGAAGATCTTGCGCAAATTCGATGAAATCGTAAAACTTGTGACTTTATTATACCAGAAAAGGTATGTTTTGGGTGAAAGGGTCTCTTGTGCAAGAGTTGCTTTGAAATACACTTTAATATCCAGTTTATTTTTTTCTGCTATGGAATCCACCTTAAAGACAGTGGTATCGAGAAAGTATATGCTTTTGTCACTCACGTTTGCTGATGGAAGGGTGGTGGTTGTTGAGAATTTCAAAGAATTCTCACAACTGTTCGATAGAATAAGTCCAAACCATAAAAATGTCATCCAAAAGGCGTCCGTAAAAATGTGGGCCAAATGGACAGAGGGGCAACACCTCCCGTTCCCACTCTGCCATGTAAAGGTTTGCGTACGAAGGGGCGAATCGTTTGCCCATAGCTGTCCCTGAAGTTTATAAATATGTTTTATCATTAAATGTGAAATCGTTTCGACTAAGACAAATCTCTAAAAGCTGTAGAGTTGCATCGTCGGGTCTGTTTGGATCTGGGTTCCTATCAAAAGCTTTACGAACTTCCGTTAAACCAGTAGTGTTATCGATATTGGTATACATAGAAGAAACGCCGATAGAAATTAAAATAGCATTAGAACTCGACGACTCTCTACCACAGTCAGATATAATCTGGCGGCCTTTAGGGATTTTATTCGAGATAAACCACTCCTTGGTTGGATTCTTATGGATTTTAGGTAAAGTGTACAAATGTCTCTCGCGATAATCAGGCTTGGCAGACAGATAGTCGTATTGTTTCTGTTTGAGATAACTAGTTTTGACTAAATCGGCAAGAATATTGTTAATCATATTAGCAGTTTCTTTGAAAATTGGTTTCGGTAAAATGGCATAATGTTTAGGATTATTCAGTTGATTCTCTGCTTCTGAAACGTAATCCCCGTCTTCATTAGCCCATATGGTGCAGAAAAGTAGGACGTAAAACTCCATTCATTTCATTTCATTTTCTGAAACGTAATCGTCCCTATTCAGAATTGTTTTTTTTTTTTGTTAATGTAAACAACATTGATAAATTAAATTATAAATCAGAACAACACTAATATATTCAAATTCCATTGCTTATACAACACAACTGGAATGTCACAAATTATGCTTATTACCGTTGGCAATGAAAAAGATCCATGCAATCAGAGCAGAAGCTTGTTTTAGACCTACAGCCTTAATAATGACAACGGAGAGCATTAGTTATGTAGGATTTATGTGACCAATGACCAGAATGTTGTTCAAAGCGCACTTCAGGTGGGGCTCTATTTGCAGATCTAAATTTTTTAATGCCATCAGTCGGTGAAAGTGACTGCACTGCACTGCATTGCACAACAGCAACCCCGTATTAAATAGTGCTATACCAACAGAAATACTAAAAGATCGACATTAGGTGCTAATTTGCGATGCAGATGCCACGCATTAGCAATGAAGACAAAATGCCAAAAATATGCAAATACCATCGTTTTTGTTTGAGACTATCACCAATTGATCCATGAGATCTTCACCTTCCATATGCTGATTGTATATTTTTATTTTTCGGTCTATTTCAATGATCTTTTTCTCGCTTTAACTCCAAGGCCTGGCTTTATCGACGGGCTCCTTTCCACAAAAAGTGGATGTAAAATGAACAATATTGCTGTCTATCCATCTCACTATAGAAATGTTGTCAGCTGATGTCGTAACTGACATAGATAGATCTCCTACCTTCAGACTTAAAAATCTTTTCAGCAGTAAAAAATTTTGTGGAATTACTCAGATTAAATATATATAATTGAAGTCAAACTAATAAAATTTCTTCAATATGAGAAAATTCGTATCATTTCTGACAGCTGCCAGTGGGCGTATGTTACCTTGCCTTGCAAGCTATCTTATTTATAATTATATATTTCTTCAAAGTTTTGAAAATACTATTTTAGGAATTTTAGGTTGTAACATTGCGGTTAAACAATGTTACGAAAGCACAGGCACAGGAATGTAGGCGTAACCTCTAGTGATAGAGCAATGTTTGTGAAGTTAGTTTAAAAGAATGATATAGAATATTTGAAATGCAAATCCATTATCTACCGAATCTGAAATAAATAAGAAGAATACTGGTTCCTACAGGAACATTAATAACCATGAAAATATAATAAACATTTTCAATGGTGAAACTGAGGAATTGTCCTATATTAAATGAAAAGGAAAATGCGTATTTCATATAAAAAATATATATAATTTATTAAGTGAAAATAGTATACATGTATGATATTTTTTCGAGGAAACTCTTCAATTGTAAGTTATCATAAATAAGAAATATTAATTAAAGGAAATGTACTAAACCCATGGAAGGGGGAATGGGGGTAATCTACCACGGACTAAGATATCATTTAGATTTGTATTACGGGTATAGGCGATAACTAAATCATTTGTAAAGACTGTTGGGAATTTTTCCTGCAATTCTTTGTAAAGACGGATAATTATTCGGGGAACTTGACCAGCTGTGTTGTTGTATCGAATAACAAAAGGTGTAATTCGGAAATCAATTTGGATGTTCATTCCTAAAGGATGCATGGTTTGTAATTTGTTTATCCAATAATTTTCGCGAATGAGTCGAATTTTCTTTGTATCAATGCCAGGTTGTTCGTATATCTGTTCAATGGGAATAATTTATAGGTCTGTTAATTGGTGATCGGGTTAATTGAAGTGTTTTGAAACGGTTTTATTTATTTTTTTTAAGTTGACGTCAGACTTATGATGGTTGAAACGGACCCTTAACGAATCTTTTGTCTCCCCAACGTATTGTTCGTCACATTTTGTGCCAGAAATGAGATAAATAATATTTTTGCTGTTGCAGTTGAGTTTTTCATTTACTTGAAATATGGAATCTGTGCGTCTATTTCGGAAAGAATTTGTTGGTAAAATGAAAGGACAGGTTTGACAGCGAGGGCTGTTACAAGGATAAACTGAAGAATTTAGTATTGGCAAAAGAATCAAATTATTTTTAGCACAGATTTCAGCAACTGTTGAGCTTTTAATACCTCTCAAGAACCTTCTAGAATATCCACGTTCGCGCAATTTTTGGAAAACAATTGAACAAGCCTCCTCGAAGTCCTTCTTGCGCGTACAAATTCGGTGAAATCTCAAGATCTGCGACTTTATAATGCCAGAAAAGGTATGTTTAGGATGAAAAGATGATTTGAATAAAAGTTGGTGAGTATCAGTGGGCTTAAAAAAAACTTTAATGTCTAATTGATTGGTTTCATGAAAATTGGTATCTTTAAAAACAGTGGTGTCTAGAAAATCAATCTGTTTGTCGCTAATATTAGAAGTTAATTTTACAGAAGGGTGGTGGCTATTGACAGTATCAAAATATTCCCAAAATTCATCTATTGTATGAGTGGGTTATGTTAAATGGAGACTATGTAAATGAAAACAGTCCCGTGGCTTGCTCCAGTAATGATGTTAATGACATAGCCGTAATGTCAGAAACACATATGTCACGAAATGATCAAAATAAAAATATGAACAAAATGGTAATTATTTACAATTCTTATTTGTACACAAAATCAAATGTAATGCAGATATCAATCCATGGAAGTTTTTAAATCTTTATGTAATAAATATGGTTTAAAATGCTCTACATAACATGACGTTAGCTTTTCAAGAATAGCTTTTATTGTGTCAGTATTTAACTTTAACTATGGCCAAATCATTCCTAGTAAATGTATTAAAGTCACAAAAGGGTGCCCCATTAACCATAAGCTGACCTTGAACTTGGTACTAATGCATGTGGTCCTGTTTTTATGAGAAATTGCTGCCAGTTTTCTATACTTGCCTCCTCAATCGTTAAATCTCTTTTATTTCAATAATTTCACTTGAGAAATTTTCTCATACTTTTCCATCAGGTGTTGCACCAAGAAATGGAAAATATGAGTTGATGACAAATTTTATATTATAAAGATGATTAATGTACATTTGTTTGGCAATTTTTTCATTTTCTTTACCATAAGACATTGGGGCTGAAACAAATTTTTCATTATCAAATGTGTTTTTTAAAAAAGAATCATTGATTTTTTTTCTTCTCTTCATAACCAGCCCAAAATTTGAAGCAGTTATTATTTTCTTTCTTTCTTCAAACCAAACAGGATTATCTGATTGTTGTCTTGTGTCTTTTTCTATTTGTTGACATTCTGCCATGACCACTACAAGATGCACCCAATCATTTTTGGTTTTAAGCACGTTTTCAAGAGGCAGAGAAACATCACATCTGGGAAATGAAATATTGCCACATCAATGATTTACCTTTGGGGTTTCAATGGGCTGAATTAATGGTGCCCGAAGAGAAATAATTACAACAATAGATAAATATTAAAAATGTTATATCAATTATGTTTTTGTGTTTATCTTTTCAGATCTTGACCCATTGGCAATGTTAGCACTTGCTTCAGAAAATGCAAGAATAAATGAAGAAATGGCAAAGCTAATACTGGAAAAGGAAGATTTAATGAGAAGTGTTAATGAGAAAAAAGTTACGAATAGTCAAAAACCAGATAGTAAAATTTACATTGAAGGTGGATTTAGTTGTAAATATTTAAAAGTTTATGACAAAAAGTATAAATACTTCACTGGATTTACAAATGAGATTTTCTAATATATTTAAATTGTTGGTACTGTGAGCAGGTTGGAGAATATTGACCTTTGTAATCAACTTTTATTTGTGTTAATGAAACTCAGACAAAATTTTGATATCAAGCATTTATCGAAACTTTTTGATATCCCACCGCAAGATTGTAGTACCCTTTTGTCCAATTGGATTAATTTCATGTTTTTATCGTTTTGGATCAGTTTCAATATAGCGTGCACGAAGTGTCATTGAACAGTACATGCCATAAAAATTTAAGGAAGATTTTCTAAACACTTTTGCGATATGTGATGGTACAGAAAAAAAAATTCAAAAACCAAGTTCCCTAATGCGACAAATTCTGTGTTACTCAGATTATATATCTTGTACAACACCAAGAGGTCTTGTAGGTGTTCTTCCAAGAGGCCCAATTATTTTTGCATTTATGCTTTTTTCTGGGTCTGTATCGGATAAGGAGATTACAGTAAAAAGCTTTTGCTATGTGGTAAACTTCAGGAAGGGGACGGCATAAAGGTAGATAAAGGAAATAAATAAATTACGTCTGAAATTAAACATACCCCCTTTGGCACCATCGGAGGGACAAATGACTACTGGAGATGTAAGTTTAACTCGGAAAATTGCTGCTCACAGAGTTCATGTTGAAAGGGCAATATCGAGAATAATAAAATATCAAAATAATGGATCATAGAGTTGATCTCAGTCTTTTTCCCTGTATCAATCAAATTTTAACCAATTTTATGCCTTTTTAAATAAGCTTAGGGTGTTAAAATTATATGAATATGACTTACATGATATCCAAGTCAAGATCCTAAAGCTTGTGGGCCAATCGGTGTATCTACTGTGTTGTCACAAATGAAATAGGAAATTGGAGAGTATTTTTATACGCCCACATGAAATGGGGGGCGTATATAGCCGTCACCCATGTCCGTCCGTCGGTCCGTCCACAATTGCTCGTAAACACTCTACAAGACACAATTCTTGACGGATTTTGACAAAATTGGTATGAGTGTTCGTAATCACCCAAGGATGAACCCTATTGAAAATCAGAAGAATCGAAAAATATTTAGTATAAGTTATTGCACTTGTTCTTGAAAACGCGTTCAATTTTTAGCTCGTGAACACTCTAGAAGGCACTATTCTGGACGGATTTTGACGAAACTTGGTGTGAGTGTTCGTAATCACCCAAGGATGAACCCTATCGAAAATCAGAAGAATTGAAAAATATTTACTAGAGCTATTGTCCTTGTTATTGAAAACACGTTCAATTTTTAGCTCGTTATCACTCTAGAAGGCACAATTCGTGACAGATTTTGATGAACTTGGTGTGATTGTTCGTAATCACCGAACGATGAACCCTATTGAAAATCAGAACCTTCAGTCATACACTTCTTCTGAACTCTTTAGAGCGATACCGAATAATATTTAGTATGAGTTATTGCCCTTGTTCTTGAAAACGCTTTCAAATCTAGCTCTTAAACACTAAAAGGCATGATTCTTGGTGGATTTTGACAAATTGAACACGTTTTCAAGAACAAGGGAAATAACTCATACTCATTATTATTCAGTATTCGCTCTAAAGAGTTCAGAAGAAGTGTATGACTGAAGGTTGAATATTTTATACTGGTTATTGTTACTGTACTGCTAAATATTTTTATTCAAAAATCAAATAGTGATGATCAAATAACTGGACAGTCTAGGCAGATAATTTGGAAAAAAAAAACAGACTGATCAGTATTTCAATAATTTTCATAGGCTAATCAAGTCTGTGATTTATCAATATATTTGTTAGAAATATTTTGCAACTTAGAAAGCAACGTCTTCTGGAAAAAATGTAAGATTCATTTGTCTGTATCGCCCACCACCATCAAAATAGAACAAACTGTCTAATGATGACTTCCTTACAGATTTCTCTGACACCAAGGATAACACAATCTTTTTGGGAGATTTTAATGTCAGTTCTTGCTCAAATGATATTATGTGGACAAAGCTGTCTGAAATTTTGGATAATTTTGACCTTACTCAACACGTAGAGGGTCCAACCCATCAAATGGGGAATACAATAGATTGGATTGTCTCTAAAACAAATAACTATAATGCATGATATCTGCATCAAGGATAATAAATGTCTGATCATTTCATAGTAAGCTTCCGCCTGGATCTTTATAAATCTATTAATGAGCCCAACTATAAAAGGTACCGTAATTTAAAATCTGTTGATATTGAATAACCCGAAGGTACTTTTCTCCACTTTAAGTTCATTATTAGGCGAAAAAGAAGACACAGCACTCCTTTGTGGTGATGATCAATCTATTGCGAACAATTTCAGTACATATTTTTCAGAAAAAATTTCCAAAATAAGAGACCAACTTGGAGAAGCGGATGACAAGGATCTGAATGATATACCCTTCTCAGGACAATCTTTCAACCATTTCTGTCCAGTTGATGATGACTATGTAAAGAGGCTTATAACTGAGTCTAAGCCAACATCATGTCCATTAGACGTCTGTCCAAGGAAATTTCTCCTGAAAAATCTTGATACTGTTCTTCCCATACTAACGAAGTTATTTAATCTCAGCTTAAAGTCTGGTGTGGTCCCACGAAGATTCAAAACTGCCGTCGTCAAACTTCTCATTAAAAAGCCTTCTTTGGAAACTGAAGTTCTAAAAAATTACCGTCCTGTTTCAAAGCTCTCTTTCCTTTCTAAAATTTAGGAAAAGGTTGTGGCTGATCAATTGAAGCAGCATCTAACTCAACATGGTTTATTAGATAGATACCAGTCAGATAACAGAGCCAATCACAGTACAGAAACTGCACTTATTTGTGTGGTTGATGATATAAAAAAAAAGAGAGTGGACTTGATACTGTTCTTCTCATACTAACGAAGTTATTTAATCTCAGCTTAAAGTCTGGTGTGGTCCCACAAAGATTCAAAACTGCCGTCGTCAAACCTCTTATAAAAAAGCCTTCTTTGGATACTGAAGTTCTAAAAAATTACCGTCCGGTTTCAAATCTCTCTTTCCTTTCTAAAATTTAGGAAAAGGTTGTGGCTGATCAATTGAAGCAGCATCTAACTCAACATGGATTATTAGATAGATACCATTCAGCTTACTGAGCCAATCACAGTACAGAAACTGCACTTATTTGTGTGGTTGATGAAATAAAAAAGAGAGTGGACTCTGGAGACATAGCCCTGCTGGTAATGTTTGATTTGTCAGCAGCATTTGATACAATTGACCATGAAAAACTGATCGAACGGATTCAGAATAGCTACGACATTGATACCACCGTTTTGAGCTGGTTTACATCATATCTTTGTGACAGATCTCAGTATGTGAAAGTCAGCTATTCACGCTCTACTCTACGTCTCTGGGCCATCTTCTATCCCAACACAATGTTCCATATCATCTGTATGCTGACGACACCCAACTTATTAGCAGTTTTAGCTCTGATGTCTCAGACCAACTATCTACCCGTTCGCACATTGAAAGTTGTGTAAACGATGTTAAATCGTGGATGTCATCTAACCACCTTAAGCTGAACGATGTTAAACGGAAGCAATACTGTTCGGAACTTCTACCCGCCTGAGCAAGTGTCAGCACAAATCAATCGCAGTAGGCTAATCAGATATATGTTTAACATCTGTTGTAAAGAATCTGGGTGTGTTTATTGACTCAAACCTCAACATGTCAAAGCATATCAACCATCTAATCAAATCTAGTCATCTCCAACTTCGAAATATAGGCTATTTCAGACCGTACTTGACAAAAGATGCTACAGCTGTCCTCATTCCCTTGTGTTGTCAAGAATGGATTACTGCAATAGCTTACTGACAGGAATTCCATCTGAACAATTAAATAAACTTCAAGAAATACAGTGTTTAATCTTCGAACTGTTGGAGCAAGGGCCTTCAGCTTTACAGCAGCTTCTTTATGGAACAGATAACCAGAGACAATTAAACTATCTCCATCTCTTGCCACTTTCAAATCTCGAGTAAAGACATGGTTATTTAATCGCTACAAATAGACAATCTTTCAAAGAGCACACAAGCGCTTCGAGCATTCTTCTACACAATGGCAAGGCGCTCTATAAATAGACTTATTATCATTATTATTAATTGTTAGTTGAAAAAAAAATTCATATTGTAATGTAAGGCTTATCTTTTAGAATTTTTTTTTAAATGATTGAATTGTTTTCATTGTAGCTTTGAGCCAGATCTTGCATCCACAGTAGTTGATGTTGTTTTTCATAACACCTATGCATGACCAGTTGATTATTTAAAAATTTGTTGACAATATGTATGGTTTGATATCTGACATGACAAATGTGTATCATCACCAAACCAAGGGCTGCTCATTGAGAGTTACTCCATCTCTATTTTGATGGGATGTTATAATGTATGTTTCTTAACTAATAATGTTCACCTGCATTTGCCAAATTATTGATATTTTAACTCTATCAATAGTTCATTAATAGTAGTATCAGAAGTTATGTTTTGACTCATCCAATATTTTTAACATTTTATGAATAGATTATGTGATGTTCTTAAAATATATTAATACCCTACAAAACGTACCAGATTCAGTCATTCATTTATCTCCAAATATTTGTCCAATTTTGTTTATGTTTCTGTAAAAATTTACATGTTGATGCTTTCAGATGAAAAGAATAAGACTCTATTGGCAAAGGTCCAAAAGAATCCCAGTAATTACAAATGCGATGTCAAGAAATAGAAACTTTAAAATAAGAAATAACATTAAATTTGTCAATAATTTATGTATTTAATTTCTTGTGATATTTTTTTTCCAGGTTTTATTCATTTTTACATTTGTTAAGTTTCATTATTATTATAATTATTTGTTGAATAAATTCAAGTCTAAACTGATATATTGTTTGCTAAAATTTGCCTCCATGGATCACCAAAAGATGTTCAATCAAAAATATAAAATAGATTGCAAAATTGCAAAACCGAGGTCAATGAGTTTATAAGCAACTGATTCCCGACGTCCACATATGTGGACACTCCAAAAAAGGGCATAAATTTTGGGGGATGGTTAAAAGAATTTTCTAGGATGCTTTTTGGATGCCATTTGTCTTAATACCAAAAGGATATTAATTTTAACTCAGTAATATATGCATGGGTCTCAGGAGGATATCGACGCCATAATGACGACGTCCTCGAAAGTTGACGGAACATTTAAAATTTGTCGAACGCTATACGTCAATTGTGGTCCAACTAAAAAAAAAAGCTAAAACAAGCGCAAACAAGAACTAACACAGTGTAAACAGACAAGTGCAGACAATATTCTGATTTTCAATATCAAATGACCATGAGGTCCAAGCTATGCACATTTACAATGGATCTTATAATACTATTTGCTTAGCCTACTGAAATGTTGTTTGCCTTGTTTGAGCTTTTTAATCGGACCATAAACAGTTTATTGCTTGAAAATCCCCCGAGTATTCATTGTTTCCGTTATGACTAAATTTCCTTTCCTTTCCTCTTCAGTTCGATCTACCATTTCGTTGTAAAAACCCCTGAATACAGCTCGATCTTCTTGCGATAGGGGTGGGGTATTGCTGCTGACTCCTTATCAATTTCAGTATACTCTGAAGGTTAATTCTGTTATTGGTCGAACCAAGTTTATCGAAATAAATTTTGGTTCTAGGCGGACAAATGATTGCAACGTGGCGGTTGTTAAACCCATCATGATCAATCTTGTTTAGCATTGTTACAGCAATGGCTGGCTGTACAAATCCTACAATGTACATCATAAATCATATTTATATTATAACTTTATAAACTGGTTAGATTAATGACTTTGAATTGAGCTGGATAAGACAGGATTTTTAGTAGGCATCCTGATTTTTTTAACAGTGGATAGAAGTAAACAGATAAAATTACAAACATGAGGTTATCCTCCCTTAGGTAACATACGCCCACTTACAGAGGATGTCGGAAGTTATGTTTTTATCAACTAAATGTTCTCAAAGAACTTCATACGTTTGAGCAAAGACTGAATATCTCAACAATTTACAAGTTATACAATGCATGTATGCTAAATCTGCTAAAACAAATCTTTCTAATCAGATTTCAAAACCCCCCAAAAATCTAAATATCAAAATCACACTGCTCTAAAGTCTAAAATTTTGAAACAATATTCATAAGTTAAGGATATCCCAAAAGGTAAGTCACAAAAATTTAAATAAGAACGGAAAAAAACTATATGGACCGACAAACTGGGGCAGCGAAAACATACGACCACTTTTCATGAGAGTTTATAAAATGAATAATGTAAGTTACCTGTGTAATTGAAATTAGCCTTTTCAATGACTAACATTCCGTCTGTTTTGTGGATCGTGACTAAGGATCACCATTACCAAGAGACAGCATCATCTATTTATCCGTTTGCGAACCATTTTGATGCTCCAGCTGGTCATAAAACATTGACAGTTCATGGTATAACAAAACACACTCGCGATCATTGTTGTACATTTGTTCATGAAGTTTTGGAAACGTGAATTGGCTGTTTGTCATATAGATTCGGGCTTGGTCAACTTCTTCACTATTTTCATTGACAACTTGTGGAGGATCTGCTTCAACTTCTTTCAAAGCCAGGGTCAGAATTCGAAAAACTGCCGTTTTCTTCTGACCTTAAGCTCCAGCAACTACCGTCCACAGGACAAAAGCCTCACTCGTCATTATTAAGCTGGATATTGAATTATTAAATGCATTCAATGCGTACTTCTTAACAATACGAAGATGTGATATTTAATAAATAAATTTAATAAAAAGATTCAGGTTATTGCCACTTTTATTTGAAACCATCAATTTGAGCATCACTGTGGGTTTATTTTCTATCATATCTACAGAAAACATTTGAACTGAACTTAATTGTCAAGGCCAATACAACGTTGTATATGGATTGATGTACAATCTAATTAAACTTATTCGGATATTATTGTTTCTTCATTCATCTAACGACAAGGTCGTGAGAAAAAAACAAATGATCTGAATTAATTATGTTGATCATTGTATTACTACAAACTGAATTAAGATCACGTGCAAATCTTTACAGGGCCTTTTATTCATATTTGAAGTAACATGATGTCGATATCATTGAGGTGGTGTAAATTATTGTCACTGTTTCCTTATAAAAAATAATATTCCAATTGTGTTGAAAATAAGGCTTATCCAGGGTTACGAAGGAAATTGGTGATCTGCTGTTTTCTTTTCTTTCTTTTTTGCTATAAGTTAGAAGTAGATCCAAATTCAAGTCAATGGATAACAATATAATAATGTTTTTCAAGTTAAAATGTGTAAGTGGATTTTTGGAATATAGTTTGTTTATTATTGTGTTAATTGCTACTGAAATGACTAATAGTCAGTTAATATATGCTGGCATACATATGTTTAAAATTGTGTTTTTATAGAACGATAAATGTTCTGTATCGTATATTGGTCACTCGAAGAAGTTATTTATGTCCTTAAGTTTACTAAACGTTTGAAATCTATATCTTCCTGAATCTGTTTTTATCCGTCTTTTTTGTCGAATGTCTGGTGCAACAGTTGATCTCAGATAAGCTATTTCTGTAAGTAGTTTGTCTGACAAGCGTTCTATCAGCAACAATTTAGATGGTGTGACTGGTCCACCGTGTCTAGCACATTTATCCAGTAAGTTTAATGCCTTCTTTACTTTCTTTTTTTCAGTTCTTCTTTTTGTTTTAAAGCTAGATGCGTTGTAGCTTTGACTGTTTCTATGAAGTCTCTATGTAAAAGTTTGGCCCTTTTTTACCTCTTCTGATCTTCCAGCCCATTTCCATTTAGCACGGCGATCTGTTTCAGAGCTATTTACAAAGTCTACAGAATTGAGAAATCCATTAGTGGCAACGTTTTTATTTGAATGTGTGTTAATACTTGTCATACCACCAGCTACCCGAAGACGATTATCAAGTTTACCAAAATCTGATTCGCAGCCAAGGTTTGTCAGAGGTGCAAATTTCAAGTTTTGATCACATGCTTCACCAATGTCGCTTTCTGAATCAAAATAGTCCATTTCTGCTAATTGACGATTGACAGTTTCTACAACTTCACATAAAACGGTACCTATCAGTTTTCCTTTACCAGTTTTATTTTTACTAAAATTTTCACATAGCGTTTTCAGTTTTGAAAGTTTTTCCTGAAAGAAACCTTTAACACCAGTCCAGTTGCGATCATTACATCCCGGATTCCTGTTGTTTATTCCAAGTAAGTCCATAATAGGAAATATAACTCACAACATCAAAGAAACCATTCATTTTGGAGGAACGTATTCACTGCAAGCACAAGTTTGTTTGCATTTTAGTCTACAATTTCGTCGAAAAATTTGCAAATGGAGTCTCTTCTCTTCAAAAATTCCTTGGCCAGCTCGGCTATACGTCCAAACCGATTAGATGCAAAACCTTTGAAACTGCGTTTATTCTCTACATCGTTGACAGTCCATATACTGATTGTACAAAGAGACCAACTGTAGATACACTTGAAGAAGGTGATTTCAAGATTTTCCCACAATCAATCAAATTTTGCACGTCAATGTGCTGTTCTGTGTTACGGAATACTTTATCTATGGCGTAGTCAACTCCAAGAACAACATGGGCAGTACATTTCAAAGTCTTTTCTAAAGCAATATCCAAGTTCTCCAAAAGCACTTTACAATCAGATGCCCGATCACAGATCCAAAAGTCTATATGACTTTTGATTTCATCAACTGTACTGTTTGAGAGTGTGGCTAGGCATTGTAGTTTCATACCATATGCCCGTGCACCGTCCTTTCCAGAGTGGGATACATATTCAATATAGCCTGTTGTAAATGACTTTCTATCGTGATTCGGCCCAGCTATTGTTAAATAATCAGTTTTAATGTCAAAGAACTTATGACCTGCAGCCTTTGTTGTATCATCAAGTCCTACAGTTACAACAGATTCAGATTCGTCTTTGTTCAGTATATATTGAGCAACCATTTCGAGATTCATGAATGACGCATCTTCAAGATAATTCATGATGCAATGCCGGCTAGACATAACAAAAGACTTATCTTTAAAAGAAAGTTTTCGTTTAGAATTTGAATCATTATCATCTGTCTCTTAATCACTGGATGGGTCGTCACTGTCACTAATGAACCCGGGGGAGTGTTCTGACCAATTCTGTCCGAAAACAATATTCGCAAGCTGAACAACGATTCCAATTAAGTCATTTATAGTAACCTTATACTGTGATGAACATTGAATTATACATCTCATTAAGGATTCGCGGATAGTTTTATTTCCAGTTCTAATTTTCACTGAAGGAAATGTATTCGAAAAGGTTGTGAAATTGACTCCCTGTGTGCATTTTTTGACCTTGTATTATATCTCCTTTTGTTGTAGAAGCATAGTGAATGGCAGATGGTGGAAAAAAATCGATGTCAATTTCGTCATTGTCAGGAGTATCACATATCAGAATATCATAGCATCATTTTCATCATCCCTATCCTTTAATGTATCTATCGTTATCTGAGAGGATATGGTACGCTTTTCAAGTCGGTTCTTCTGTTTTAACCAATTTCTGGGTACAGTATCACTACATCTATAAGCATAATTACCAAATCAATTGTCTTCATAAAATTCTACATCATCATTAGTCATCTTCACTCCGTATTGTTCTTCCATTTGTTTCTCATACACTCCATCACGACAACGTACATCATACGCATTATAAGTCATTCTTTCGTTGAATCAATCTGTTTTGTTTTGTTATTTTCTGTTTTACGTAGTTCTTTAAAAGTTTCATAGTCTGCTTTTATTTTCTTAGCTATTGCATGTTCTCCTATAGGGTATACATTTTTCTGTATCCAGTCATTTCTAAGTTCCTTGGCAACTATAAAACTAGCACTGAATCTACTTACAGTTATATGTCCTTTTTCAGAATTCTTACAAAGAGATAGCATCCGTCCAAGTATGAATTTCCCACTATGAAGTTTAGTTTTCGTTGAATTCTGGTTCTTCTTTGTAGTCTTCACCAAAAAATGTTTTTCTATTTTCGCTTGTTCTTGTTTTTACATCCATTTTAGCTAAATTCTATTTTTCAATTTCAAATTCGATCAAGTCCAAATCGATTTTGCAATAAGATTATGACATCACACAATTATGACATCATCACATGGCATCATAATGACATCAGTCAGGTAACAGATATATTTTTTTTTTTGTAAATTTCTACTTTACACGGATTTCTTAAAAATAAACAAAGAAAATTAACTCGGCGACCCCGAAAACCATATAAATGATATATTACATGCCATACCCCACAATTATTTCAAAGTTTTATCACATTTCGACCGCCATATTGGATTTTCGCCATATTGGATTCAAGGTTGTTGAATTCAATGGGCAAAAATGAATTTATTGACCCTGTAAACACTTAAAAAGATATTTTCACGCTAGCATATACAGTTTCCTCCTGTTACATCCGCTGTACATTCCCTTCTAACCCCAAGTTATTTTCATTATGCTCCCCAACTACAACAACCACTGGCAAGAAGCCAGACATAGAAACACTAATCGTCAACCAAACCAATATCACGTACCCTACAACGGCCCTGTCTTCCATCGACCTCTACCACCTACCAATCGCCGACCACCAACCAACCCATCCAGCTATATCCCACCCCAACGCCGACCTTCCTACAACACAGCATACCAATCAAGAGGTAACCATCGACCTGACCAACAACAGAAACGACTACCAGCACACCGACGCCAACCAGTCCCCACTCATAAGGAGGAAGAACCCTTTGTGAAGGTGTTCTTCCAAGTTTTGCAGTGCCTCCATCATTTGGCAATCCTTACCCTTACAGCAAGGCCAACCAGCGTTTACCTTCAAACGCAAAGTCTCTGAGTTGGATAGTTTTATCCGTCCAGCAATGAAAACATCAGCTGTCGACGCGAATATTAGATCCCTCAATCGGACATGGCTCTGTAAGGTTACGCAGGTCCTGATCGACCATTACCAAACCACACTTCAAGAGAAGCTGACCACCATTCGTACCAAGTCTTTATCATCACCTGCCGTCGACCGCATCGTTTCTCATGCCCTGTCCTGGGCCCGTCGCTCCTATGGGAAACGTCTCACTCAAGCTGTAATCTCCAAATTCTAGCAAACAATCAACGAAACAAAAACCAGAGTAACCATATCTCTACCAACTGAAATGGACACTACACCTGCACCATCTAGAGCCACCACGCTGCCGAACCAAACCCCTAAACGAGCCCGAAGTTCACCTACTCCTAGTCCAGCAGACATAGGTAAACGCTCTCGTAGAGAGGGCACACCCCTTCTCTTTTCACTTTCAGACTCGTCTTCCCCTTCCACACCATCTGAATCTTCACCACGTGATCCAGGATCCGCCAACCTTTCTTCCTTCTGTGCGTTTTTGGACCAGAAATTAATCGCCACAGCCAACAAAACCTTCCCAAACTCCAAGATCCTCTTCACATGTATATCCATTTCAAATAAAATCTCGAAGAAAGCACAACAGAACCTCAACAACATGATGATGGAGTCCAGTATCAACAGCGCAACAATCTTACCACCCTACGAAGAAGAATTCGAAAAAGTTGATAATCTTCATTGGTCTCCAGAAACAGCAAACAGCATCTATTTGTTTTGGATACACCAGCTTCAAGCATCGAGTAAGTCTTTAAACTAATTACTGGGGATAAAAATACTGAGAGGCCACCGCTAGGCCAAACTGTAGTTAACTTGAGCCGCAAAATTCTCACACCCCTTCAGCATTCAATCTTAGACCGTGGACTTAAGTTTATTCCCACACCAAAGATAGCTAACTTGAATTATCTCCGACCATCCATTGAACGATTTCAACGAAATCTTAGCTGCACATATTTTTTTCGAAACCACCTCCTACGTGGTGCTAGAATAATGTTTATTCCTAAATCCACGTGGACACCCCCTCAGGCCGCCATCCATCCTGAAATATTGAAAGCATTTGCGAGTATGAATAGCCAAACAGTGAACCTTTCCATAACACACGAAAAGCCTAATCTCACACGAGTGGAACGTGAAGCGTTAAACTTACTTAAGAAAGACGATAGCATTGTTATTAAAAAGAGTGACAAAGGTTCATGTTGTGTCATTCTGAATAGGGAGGATTACGTTTCAGAAGCAGAGAATCAACTGAATAATCCTAAACATTATGCCATTTTACCGAAACCAATTTTCAAAGAAACTGCTAACATGATTAATAATATTCTTGCCGATTTAGTCAAAACTAGTTATCTCAAACAGAAACAATATGACTATCTGTCTGCCAAACCTGATTGTCGCGAGAGACATTTGTACACTTTGCCTAAAATCCATAAGAATCCAACCAAGGAGTGGTTTATCTCGAATAAAATCCCTAAAGGCCGCCCGATTATATCTGACTGTGGTAGTGAGTCATATGCAGTGTCAGAATACATTGATCATTTCTTACTACCTCTAACATGCCAACATCGCGCCTACCTTAAAGACACAACCGATTTTGTCAATAAAATAAAAAATCTTCGAGTTCCCTCTAATGCTATTTTAATTTCTATCGACGTTTCTTTTATGTATACCAATATTGATAACACTACTGGTTTAACGACAGTTCGTAAAGCTTTTAATAGAAACCCAGATCCAAACAGACCCGACGATGCAATTCTACAACTTTTAGAGATTTGTCTTAGTCGAAACGATTTCACATTTAATGGTAAAACATATTTACAAACTTCAGGGACAGCAATGGGCAAACGATTCGCCCCTTCGTACGCAAACCTTTTCATGGCAGAGTGGGAACGTGAGGTGTTGCCCCTCTGTCCATTTGACCCACTTTTTTACGGACGCTTTTTGGATGACATTTTTATGGTTTGGACCTATTCTATCGAACAGTTTTGGGAATTCTTTGAAATTCTCAACAACCACCATCCTTCTATCAAACTAACCGCAAACGTGAGTGACAAAAGCATAGACTTTCTCGATATCACAGTCTTTAAGGGAGATTCCATAGCAGAAACAAATAAACTGGATATTAAAGTGTATTTCAAAGAAACTGATACTCATCAACTCTTGCACAAGAGCTCCTTTCACCCAAAACATACCTTTTCTGGTATAATTAAGTCACAAGTTTTACGATTTCATCGAATTTGTACAAGATCTTCTGATTTNAACCAAGCCTGTACGATTGTTTTCTCAAAACTTTATTTCTGANAGAGCGTGGGTACTCTAAACGATTTTTACGAAACATAAAAAATTCCACAGATAGCAGCTAAAAACAGACTTTATCCGAAGTACCTCCAAGTTTAAGAAGTGCTCCATGTTTGTCCAGTAGATGCAAAACATGTCCCTTTATATCAGAAACTCATTATTTTGTAAGCAACTCTACGAATAAAAGGTACCCGATCCAGGAACATCTAACATGTGAACATTCGAATGTAATATATTTAATTTCATGCAAAGAAATGCCCCAAACAATATGTAGGAGAAACTAAGAATAATTTACGAACTCGCTTTAATGCTCATAGGTCGGACATAAAATTAAAGAAAGACAAGCCTGTTTCTAATCATTTCAACCTCGACGACCATCTCACCCTAATCCCAATTGAGCGTATAGAAATTGACTTGCCCGAAGATGAAACTACCAAATTCCGTCAATCTAGGGAGGCCCATTGGATTGAGACATTGAATACAGCAAGACCTATAGGACTAAATATTCATCATAATGTAGGCATAGCACCCTTTGTTGTCCCGTTTAATACAACCAGCAATCGAGCAAGCAAGATAGTTCATGCCCACTATAAGAGCCTTCAAGAGAAATTCCCCCATGTCTATAAGCAGAAAATGATAGTTGCATATTCAAAAAATAAGAACTTAAATGATAATATTGTTCATAGTAAACTAAAAACAATCAGTACATAACAGATACTATACTTCTCGCCCATTGGGCGAGTTATTTTTTCTAATTTCAGATCAGAATAAGAACAGAAGCAAACCCAATATCAAGACCCTCAATCCTAATTTCTAAATAAAGTGTCTGCTCCATCCTAGGCCTGTACATTTGGGAGAATCAAACCCTCCCTTCCCCGAAATCTATTCTGATGCCTTATCTTGATGCGTGAATTAAAAAAAACTGTCAAGTGAAGCTGATTTTTTTTTTTAAAAGGGTTTAAAATTGATTACGATTACATAATTTTGGATGAAAATATCTTCCACGTCCGTCTTTTATATCTAAATTGATTTCTTTGATCCCTGTGGAATTAAATGGTAGAAAAGTTGTTTGAAATGGATTTTCTACTATTCAATACCCGATTGGAACTGTAAATGTAAGAATACTAAAAATAATTTAAATGTAAGAATACTAAAAATAATTTGTTTGTGTCTATTGCAATGAATGTTGATGATATCGATGTCGTTCTCAATATTTGCTTATTTTTTTCTTTTCAAAACTTAATAATTCATTTAATGAGTTTTCCACATCGAAATCTGCTTTATGTTTATTCAGATTTAAATTACCTTCGAATTCAATATTGGGTTTTCCTTTGTGACTTCCAACGTATTCAGAAATAAATTCGTTGATGGAAACATACTCATAACTTCCTAGAGCCAATATTAATAATTTAAATGTTCTCCCATTGTCTTTTGAAATTTTCAATTGGTTGTTCTTTCTTGACATTTCTTAGTGAATTATAAATTGAAAAATATTTTTGTCCTAGTTTATATTTTTTTATTTGAATAAGTTCACATTCATAATCTAAGGTTAATATTATTTTCGAGGATTTAGATGTTATCATAAAAAATTCTTCGTCCATTTTTATAAACATTTTAAATTGCATGATCCAAAACCGACTTTGCCTATGATTCCTTTTACTAATAATCTTTTTAAAATGGCGTGGATTTCATTGAAATTAGATTGATGTCCATGTTTTATTGATTCAATAATTATATTAAGTCTGTTAATTGTTCAGGATCATCGGACAAAAACGTTATACCTTCTCCACTACTACTTTCTCCAGAAATATCATCTAATTCCTTTATTTCTTGATCATCATCTATATATTCATCGTCTTCATTCGTAGCTTTTATAACGTCTCCCAATCTATTTGTTTCGCGTCCTGTCTTTAGAGTTTCATGTAGAAGTTTTGAATATTGTACTAAATCAATGTAATTGACAATGTGAATATTTCCACCATTCATTAAATTTATTAATCCTTCTGTTAATGTAAGTATCGATTTTTGAATTGTGGTGAATTTCCACAAATCGTATTGTCGTCGCCCCTGACCGTCCGTCCGTCCGTCCACAATTGGCTTGTGAGCGCGATAGAGAATACAGTTTTTATTAGATCTTGGTCAAGATTTTTCAATGAACGGTATTTTTTAGTTATTTCCCTCGACTAAGTAAAAACGCGTCAAAATTTGATAGTGAACACAATAGAGACTAGTTTCCATCTGGTTTTAATGAAATTTGGTGTGATCATCTATAACTATGAGATCTTGGCCAAGTTGAATTTGATGATTTTTCGATAGACGGTTTTTGATTTCTGGGAAGAGTGGGTTTGATTCTCCCAAATCTACAGGCCTAGGGTGGAACAGATACTTTATTTAGAAATTGGGATTAAGGCTCCAGATGCTGGGTTTGATTCTGTACTGATTCTGATCTGAAATTAGAAAAAATACTCGCCCAATGGGCGAAAAGTATAGTATCTGTTATGTACTGATTGTTTTTAGCTTACTAAGTTCTTATTTTTTGAATATGCAACTATTATTTTCTGCCTATAGAAATGGGGGAATTTCTCTTGAAGGCTCTTATAGTGGGCATGAACTATCCTGCTTTCTCGATTGCTCGTTGTATTGAACGGGACAGCAAAGGGTGCTATACCTACATTATGGTGAATATTTAGTCCTATAGGTCTTGCTGCATTCAATGTCTCAATCCAATGGGCTTCCCTAGATTGACGGAATTTGGTAGTTTCATCTTCGGGTAAGTAAATTTCTATCCGCTCAATTAGGATTAGGGTGAGATCGTCTATTGAATGGTCGTCGAGGTTGAAATGATTAGAAACAGCATTAAAACGAGTTCGTTAATTATTCATTGTTTCTACTACATATTGTTTGGGACATTTCTTACATGAAATTAATAATATTACATACGAATGTTCACATGTTAGATGTTCCTGGATCGGGTACCTTTTATTCGATAAGTTGCTTAAAAAATAATGAGTTTCTGATATAAAGGGACATGTTTTGCATCTACTGGACAAACATGGAGCACTCTATAAACCTAGAGGTACTTCGCATTAAGCCTGTTTTTAGCTGCTATCTGTGCTAAATTGGATTTTTTTAATGTTTCGTAAAAAATCGTTTAGAGTACCCTCGATCTTTCAGTTTTGAGAAGACAATCGTTCAAGCTTGGTTGAAATCAGAAGATCTTGTGCAAATTCGTGACATCGTAAAACTTGTGACTTAATTATACCAGAAAAGGTATGTTTTGAGTGAAAGGAGCTCTTGAAATACACTTTAACATCCAGTTTATTTGTTTCTGCTATGGAATCTCCCTTAAAGACTGTAGTATCGAGAAAGTCTATGCTTTTGTCACTCACGTTTGCGGTTAGTTGATAGAAGGATGGTGGTTGTTGAGAAATTCAAAGAATTCCCAAAACTGTTCGATAGAATACATCCTAACCATAAAAATGTCATCCATAAAGCGTCTGTAAAAAGTTGGACAGAGGGACAATACCTCAGGTTCCCACTCTGCCATGAAAAGGTTTGCGTACAAAAGGGGGAATCGTTTGCCCATAGCTGTTCCTGAAGTTTGTAATTATGTTTACCATTAAATGTGATATCGTTTCGACTGAGACAAATCTCTAAAAGCCGTAGAATTGCATGGTCGGGTCTGTTTGGGTCTGGATTTCTTTTAATAGCTTTACGAACTGCCGTTGAACCAGTAGTGTTATCGATATTGGAAACGTCGATAGAAATTAAAAGAGTATTAGAAGGAACTGGAAGAATTTTTATTTTATTTACAAAATCGGTTGTGTCTTTAAGGTAGGCGCGATGTTGACATACAAGGGTAGTAAGAAATGATCAATGTATTCTGACACAGCATACGACTCATTACCACAGTCAGATATAATCGGGCGGCCTTTAAGGATTTTATTCGAGATAAACCACTCCTTGGTTGGATTCCTATGGATTTAAGGCAAAGTGTACAAATGTCTCTCATGATAATCCGGTGTGGCAAACAGATAGTCATATATTGTTTCGGCAAGAATATTGTTAATCGTATTAGCAGTTAATTCTCTGCTTCTGAAACGTAATCCTCCCTATTCAGAATGACACAACATAGCCTTTGTCACTCTTTTTAATTACAATGCTATCGTCTTTCTTAAGTAAGTTTAACGCTTCACGTTCCCTTCGTGTGAGATTAGGCTTTTCGAGTGTTATTGGGGGTTCTCTGTTCGGCCATTCAATATTTCAGGATGGATGGCGGCCAGGAGACCAATGAAGATTATGAACTGGTTCGAATTCTTTTCGTAGGGTGATAAGATTGTTGCGCTGTTGGTATTGGACCCTATAATCATCTTTGTCCTTGGTTTGGTGATAGAATGGGTTGGTAACGGTATAAAATGGTTGATTTGATTCAGATTGACGACCTCCCTTGATATACTGAAAATTTATCAGGGTCCGTCCGTCCACAAATGCTCGTAAACACTCTAGAAGGCACAATTCTTGACGGATTTTGACATGGATGTTTTTTTATCACCCAAGGAATCTGATAAACCCTATTGAAAATCAGAAAAATCAAAAACATATTTCGTATGAGTTATTGGCATTATTCTTGAAAACGCGTTTAATATTTAGCTCCTAAACACTCTAGAAGGGACAATTTGAAACTTGGTGTGAGTGTCCTTAATTACCCAAGGATGAACCCTATTGAAAATCAGAAGAATCGAAAAACATTTAGTATGAGTTATTGCCCTTGTTCTTGAAAATTCGTTCAATATTTAGCACAAAACTAAACTTTGTGTGAATGTTCGTAATCACCCAAGGATGAACCCTATTGAAAATCATACTAAATATTTTTCGATTTTTCTGAGTTATTGCCCTAGTTATTGAAAACACGTTGGATTTTTTAGCTCGTAAATACTGTAAAAATCGGAAGAATCGAAAAATAATTAGTAGGAGTTACTGCCCCTGTTTTTGAGAATGCGTTCAATTTTCATCTCGTGAACACCCTAGAAGGCACAACTCTTGACATATTTTGGTTTTCGGGGAAGGGAGGGTTTCATTCTCCCAAATGTACAGGCCTAGGGTGGAGCAGACACTTTATTTAGAAATTAGGATTAAGGGTCTTGATATTGGGTTTTCTTCTGTTCTTATTCTGATCTGAAATTAGAAAAAATAACTCGCCCGATGGGCGAGAAGTATAGTATCTGTTATGTACTGATTGTTTTTAGTTTACTATGAACAATATTATCATTTAAGTTCTTATTTTTTGAATATGCAACTATCATTTTCTGCTTATAGACATGGGGGAATTTCTCTTGAAGGCTCTTATAGTGGGCATGAACTATCTTGCTTGCTCGATTGCTGGTTGTATTAAACGGGACAACAAAGGGTGCTATGCCTACATTATGATGAATATTTA